AAAAGTGCTGCCGATACTAAAAAATGGCTTGATGAGTGTTATCCAGACTCTGCACCAGGCGAAGCAACAATTCGTAAGTGGTTTGCAAAATTCCGTACTGGTCATATGAGCACCAAAGAGGATGAACGCAGTGGACGCCCAAAAGAGGCTGTTACCGATGAAAATGTGAAAAAAATCCACAAAATAATTTTGAATGATCGTAAAGTGAAGTTGTTAGAGATAGCTGACACCTTAAAGATATCAAAGGAACGCGTTGGGCATATTATTCATGAATATTTGGATAAGAGAAAGCTCTGTTCAAAATGGGTGCCGCGTGAACTCACAATTGATCAAAAGCAACAACGAATTGATGATTCTGAGCAGTGTTTGGAGCTGTTACATCAAAATAGAACCGATTTTTTTTTGCCGATACATAACAATGGATGAAACATGGCTCCATCACCACACTCCGGAGTCCAATCGACAGTCAGCTGAGTGGACTGCACGCGATGAACCGACTCCAAAGCGTGGAAAGACTCAACAATCGGCTGGGAAGGTTATGGCCTCTGTTTTTTGGGATACGCATGGTATAATTTTCATCGATTACCTTGAGAAGGAAAAAACCATCAATAGTGATTATTACATTGCGTTATTGGAGCGTTTGACGGATGAAATTGCAAAAAAACGACCTCATTTGAAGAAGAAAAAAGTTCTGTTTCATCAAGACAACGCACCGTGTCACAAGTCAATGAATACGATGCTTAAATTGAACGAATTGGGCTTTGAATTGCTTCCTCATCCACCGTATTCTCCAGATTTAGCCCCCAGTGACTTTTTCTTGTTCTCAGATCTCAAGAGAATGCTCGCTGGTAAAAAATGTTAGAGCAATGAAGAGGTGATCGCTGAAACTGAAGCCTATTTCGAAGCAAAGGACAAATCGTACTACATAAATGGTATCGAAAAGTTGGAAGATCGCTATAATCGCTGTATCGCCTCTGATGGAAACTATGTTGAATAATAAAACCGAATTTTGAAAAAGAAATGTGTTTTTCTATTAAACGATGCGAACTTTTCAGCCCAACTGTTATATCTAAGATTTTCATGAACTTCATTACAGAGGTAGGGTTTTCTAACCTCTTTAATTATTTAATTGCTTTATATGCTTGGTTTTTTATGTTCTGTCATCTTATTGATTTAGTTTTGTGTGTGTTAGCCCAAATAATGTTAGCGTAGGAGAGATGAAATTGAACAATACTGAACTAAAGCATTTTGCGTGATTTATTATCAAGATAAGTCCTAGATTTGTATAATACACTTATAGCAGAAGATGTTTTTGTTTTAATGATACTATTTTATTTTTTCAATGATTTTGATTCTCATCAAATATTACTCTCCAAAACTATGTATCATTTAATTTATTTCATTTTTTATTGATTAACAGTTCTGTTAACTTTAACGGACGATTAGTTGATTGTCTTATTTTATGGAAGAGAGTAAAGTTTGTTTTTTCACAATACAATAATAATTTATTAGCTATAAACTATTGGTTAAGGTTTTCTAGTTCAGAGTTCATTGTTTCGAACAATATTTTTACAGTTGTTGTAGAATATTGTCTGCATACATAATTGACAATATTTTATGAGAAGCTTTATTCATATCTTTAAAAGAATGATCCCTGTGGGACTCCGCATACAATATCAAGAGCTCCTAACTCCTCCAGGACAACATACTGTTTTCTATTAAAAAGATAACTTTTAACCCACTTATATATTATGTCTTTAATGCCCAATAGCTTTAATTTTAAAAGTAAAGTTCCGTGATCAACAGTATCAAATGCCTTAGAGAGATCAATAAATACTCCTCGCACTTGTTCCCCTTTACCAAAGGACAAAGATATTTTATTGGCAAGTTCAATAATAGCATGTTTAGTAGAGCAGTTTTTCTGAAATCCAAATTGAGTTTTGTATAAAAGCGGATTTAATGTCATATAATCATAAACTCTATTAGAGATTACCCTTTCAAGTATTTTTGAAAAGATAGGGAGTAGTGATACAGGATGGTAGTTGCAAACAGAAGAACAGTCATCATTTTTAAAAATTAGGTGAATTTTGGCTGATTTTCATTTATCAGGAAATATAAGGGAAGATGGTTACCAGAAAACTAAAATTAGATACTTTCTTTAACTAATTTATTAAAAATTAAGTAACAACAACTTTATAATTAAGCATAACATAATTAAGTAATAATGTAACATAAATAATAATAAATTTAACACAATTTTAAAGTCTTGTAATGAAATAAACGTTGAAGTATTTTTATATATGTATACACATATGACGACATTACTGGTAATGTCGTCAAATTCACATGAGTTGTTACGCTTTAGTTCTAATAGTGCTTTATTAAATTTAATAAAGCACTATTAGAACTGAAGCGTCAAATCACCAATTTATAAATTGGTGATTATTTATTTATTCATTAGTTATGCTTGTCGCGGGTTTTTCTGCCAAGAACTCATCAAACAATTTAATTGACTAAATAATGTTAGAAGAAAGAGGGGCATTAACAAAATATTTGTTAATTTCTTGACATAAATTTTTTCACTTGTTATAATTTTAATGTTAATTTTTTTTTTTTTTCGCAAGCAAGAGAGTTTATTTTTCTTGCTTCCAGTTACTTCATTTATAATAGACCAAATTTTGTTGATATCAAACTTATTTTTATCCAGCTGGTAAGACTAGTACTTAATTTTAGCTCGTTTCAAGTGAAAAAACTTTTTATATTTTTTATACGCTTTTTCGTCATTTTCTATTTTAAATTTTATAAATTTTGTATAAAACTTTGTTTTCTTTTTTTTTTCTTTTGTAAAACAGTTTTATATTTACATCGTACTTAGATAAATAAAAATAAAATGTAAACAAGTTTAAAACAACACCTGAATGACTATTTTTTATCACACGACAAATTAAAAATATTCTAAGATATATTTTCAATAGAGAGAATGAGATCTTTTAATTTATTTTTAAAAACAGGATTAGTTAGGGATAATTTGAAGTTGGACAAAATAATTTTGTTCCACAAATGAGCTGCACGATAAGTGATACAAAATTGATTGAATTTTGTTCGACAGAGTGGTTCATTTAAATGATTTCTATTCCTCATGTTAAACTCGCTTAATGGTTTCAAAATAAAAAGGTCTTTAAACATATATATATATATATATATATATATATATATATATATATATATATATATATATATATATATATATATATATATATATATATATATATATATATATATATATATATATATATATATATATATATATATATATATATATATCGTCGGTATACTAGGGAAATGCAATCATTTGATACACCATACAAATTTAATAAACCAATTGTTAATGAGTTATTAAGGTTTTTTATTTCAACTATTACACAAAAACTTATTATTTTAACTAATATACAAAAACTTATTTGTTCATTATCTCAAAACGATG